GGCCCGCTCTTACGAAAGACCCCGTGTGTGGGCTAACACCTTACACTCCCACCCTAACACCTACCATAACGTGTGTGTGTGTGTTTTCTACGGGTCTAGAGTTTCGATCCATTTATTAAATAAATATTGCTGGCTAAACATTAATGTTTTAAAGATGTAGGAGGATGATTTATGATATAAAAAACGAAATCAAAGTACAGTACATGATTCCTATTTACAAATTTGTTATAAACGAATTGATTTATGTAAAACGAGAACATAAAAATGACAAATTATTGTTTTTCCGTCGCTTAAATATATAATGTATCGTACGCGTACGAGTCGTCCACTTAGGATATTGTGCATGTTTACATGAAAACATACAGATGTGAAACAAGAAATAAATTATAGAAAAAAGACGCACACACAGACGGGCAGATAAACACATACAAGGCACCTTCACTCGGCTCGATTCTATAAATACAAATTTAATACCTCACAATCATTACTATTTTCATTCAAAAAAGTAATGATTATTACGTCACGACTGGAAAGTTTTTAACTATTTTTAATTGTGACGTAATAATGATCTAGCGCTAAACAATTGACTTTTTTGTGAGAGTTAATTGTTCCGGAACGGTTAACGTATCATAAAGTTAATTGTTGCGTAACAATTAATAAAAATTTAAAAATTCAGCGAAATTTTAACAGTTTTTTACATTTTAAAGTGTAATTAAGTTATTATAAAAAGAAAAAAAAACACGAGTAAATGATGCGTGTGTATTAATAGGTCGATAAATTCAGAAATAAAATATATTTTAAGTGAATATAAATAGTGTTTCGTGTTAAATTTTAAAATTTTGTGCGTGACAAAACGTATTATTTTCTGATGATTAAGCTAGATTCATTTCATATATTTTGCAGTGTTTCCAATTTTTTTCCACTCTGTTCTCTAAGCTTATAATTACTTCCAGATAAGGGATTTATCTGATAGAAAAACGTTAGACATTACGCTAAGGTGCAGGACCTCCCTCCTTTTTAGATTTAGGTGTATCTCCCCTGCGATCTAGCATTCTTAACAGACATTTATTAGTATATTACCAACAATATATATGCTAATTGAGTACTGATACGTTTGGGAGATAGTCCTAAAATAACTTTTATAACCTTTTTATATAAAGAAGCTACATAAAAAAAAGGTTATTAGGGGGTTATAATGGACGAAACGCATTTGGAGGGGGGTAGACAATGCCACAGCTAAGTAACTCGGCCATATTGGATCCCTATAAATACAGTTTCAACATTTAAAAAACATTCCGCGCCCTTGTGGAGCCTACATTCTCTTAAAGTTATTTCTGACAAAAACTAAACTCATACGAGAAACTCGTGCACAAAAAAATGGGGGGGGGGTGTAAATACTGACGCCACCTTAAACAGTGCGATAAACTCTCGAACTTGTTTCTCGCTTCAACTATCGAAAACAATAACAACTCGTTAACAAACCATAAAACTAAAGTTTAGGCCAGACAATAACACTAAAAAAACAATAGTACAGTGTGCTCGGTGTGGAGTTAGGTCCTTATAATCACGTGAAATAACGAGAACTCCCCCTAAAGTTTTTAATTTACATCGATCACAATCGGGCATATCGTAGCATAGACTCGAAAGATTGCATCTAACTGAATTATTTAAAGCACATTTGTCTTCTTTCGATTTATATCTAATCCATTGCTCCTGTCTCTCATAGATCATCCCCCTAATGCGCAGTTTTGAGACAGCTGAAGAAGATACATACAGGTGCACGCGAAGATCGGGATCGTGTCTCTCTAATCACGTGTTAAATATGCTAATAGACGGATGAAAAACCGAAATTATAATCAGTTAATCGCATTTATGTACGTTAAGTCAGCGCAAAATTCATTTTCAGGGATGGGAAGCGTCACGTGACTACGTCTATCTCGCGTCAAACCAGTCAGGTGACCCTACTATGAAACACTCGTGCTTCCAGTCACGTTCACCTGATCCAGCTAAATCATCCTTAAGAATCATCCTTATCGTACCGGATGCTGCGCAAGATCCGGTGTAAGTTATAAAACCTTATTTTTCTCCCCTTTTAGTGAATCACCAGATCCGAGGAATCACTGGCAGGGTCACCGATCACCACCAAGACACGTGATTCAACGCCATATCCGATTACTACAAGCAATGAATCACCGATAAAAGAGTTTTTCAGTTGTAGTCACGTGATCGGAACAACATCCTGATACTACAGCAACCGGATATTACATACGCTCTAGATAAAGGCAAGGATACTAAAGGAGAACGATAGACTTTAGCATAGAAAGAGTAAAGTTTTTAAATCATTTTCATTTATTTTACGTTATAGACCTATAATACGGTAATTATTTTTAGTATCGTCAGAGGGTGTTGACTTCTAGACACAGGAAAAAAATACAGGATTCTTGTCCTTCAAATAACTAGCACAAACTGACATTTGAAGTCACAGCTGAAAATAAATTTGTGTTTATTTTCTGCTCTATTTATCTTGTAAATTTTTTTTCATTCGTGTTAATTTTTTTTTCTTAAATTGTACATTTAAGTGTCCATGTTTACCAAAACAATTGGGGGTATAAATATATTTATATGCTGCCATAACAAATTTAATATCCTAGTATTACTTCCGTGTTCGATTCACGATCAATCAAAATTGCTTTGATTTTTATTTTCTATAATCAAAAATGACGTTTTTACGGTCGTTCTATTGTTAAATTTCTCTTAAAAATCACCATTAATTGACTATACGTTACGTTTCAATAAACATTATTACGTCACAATAAAAAAAATTCAAATTTAAACCGATACGTATTGTTACGTAGGCAGAAAAAACGGTCATAGAAGAAATGCATTGTTGCGTCACAAGTTAAATGAAAAATCGCAATCACGCGACACTCGGCGGATATTTTTGAAATTGAAATGAACATTTTTCGATCACGAATAATTTCGAGTGTCATCAATCATTTTCTTATTGTTACGTGACAGAGAAAGTACTCAAAGGCGCTCTCGCATATAAACTAAAGTATCGTGTGATTCACTTGCCATTTATTTTTCTTAATTTACATGAATTATAATAAAAATAAAGCGGTCAAATCGTTTTCTTAAGAAGAATTTCTAAATTCTAAACAATTACGTCACATAAATCGATACTGGAAAATCGGTTAGACGCGATCGAAATCGTCTACCGCGCCATTAACGTGACGTCACGTTCCACGACCCCCACCTTTCAATCGGGATTAGATTATACATATAACTATTCAGTATTTTAATTAATTAATTATAGGTGCATTTTAGCGCGTGGAATGAGTTACGCCGCATCATGTGCCGCGTACGTAACCAAATTTCGGTATTAAACAAACTCTCAATGAACGAACCCTTGCCTCCGGGGTAGGGAGTGGGGGGACGAAAGTGGAATACTACCACAATGTATCGGAACTCACAAAGTCTCATTATCAAGCGTGATTGGAGAGAGCATTACGTCACCGCACAAGGAATAAAATGGGGGGTACGTAATGACTAACTCATCCCCTGATTGGTTTAGCTGTCACTTCTGCACAACAAGTAGGCAAAAGCCTGGGGCCAGTAATTTCGGGTGGTTGACTCATGGTTTTCCTTTTTCTTGTGGAAAGTTTTGTGTCGACATTCCTGGAATTTCCGACCAAACAATAAAGATAAGAAAATAGAAAAAAAAGGCAAAAGTTTTCTGCCTTTTTTTTTCCTATTTAGATGCCATAGAAGCATCGTCTTTGTCTTCTCTGCTACACCGGAAAAGATTCAATTACATAAAACTATGTGAGTTAATAATCGTTTTATTTTTAAAATTAAATGCGACGTCATAATAGCTTAAGACACGTAACAATTAGTCCTATGGCCGTGACCTTGTATGACGTAACAATCGCTTTTTAACCTGTTGTGACGTCATAATTGTTTAAACATGTAACAATAGGATCTATTATCTCGACAAATAGACTACGTATCGATTGAATCTATAAATCTAATTAGTATCCTAACAATAGTTTAATAACAATAAAATCAATGAAATAATGAACTACATTGTTACGTCACGAATTTTTCAATATAATTTAATATCCTTAAATGAATAATAATTTTAAATAAAAGCAAAAAAATATTGTCTTATCGTAACACTTGGTTGTAGTGTAAAATAAGCTTAAGTGACGTAATAAATGTATCTTCTGTGAATTATTGAGTCACGGATTCTTCGACGAATTTCAAATTTACTCGTCTTCCATTACCAACAAATCTAGAACATGACGTAATAAAGGCCACGAACTACCAAAATAGCATTGTTACGTCATGGAATTTTAGAATTTATTCGTCTTCGGTGGCCAATAAACGTAATCAATGCTACTATGACGTAACAACGATGGCTTAAATTATCAATAATGTTCATTTCGGTTCGTTTATGTAAATTACTCGATTGTGACGTCACAGAGAGTCGGCAGAACGATGGCTAAGACACGCGAACAGCATACCAGACAGGATTTAAGAGAATTCCTCGAAGATTTTACATTTTAGTAAGGAGTTTTGTAACTTTAAAGTAAAAATTTTTAAACGTGGGGCGCCAATTTCGAGTTTTTTTTTAATGCGATTTATTAATTAAAAACGAAGGAAAGTAACTTTTTTGCATCACAAAAGCCCTGAGTAACCATGTTTAGGATTAATGAAAGTGCACGATAACAAAGCCATTTGGCCTCATTTCGGCAGCGTGCAGCGAACAAAGAAAAGATAATTTTATAACATCACGTCTACCCAACAACCACATATTGATTGATGAGGCAAATAATGTAACGGTATTCACTCGACTGCGATATTGTTGATGATTCAGCGTGAATCACCTCTTGACCTTTAACCTTCTCTCGGAACCGTCTAGTGTTACGGCACTTCTATACTTACAGGAGCATTTTAAAAAACAAAAAAGAAGTAAAAAAAATCAGCTGCACACTCACCATTTGGCAAGACACTTTGGGTTTTCTGATTATGTCAGGCACTTTGTTTCCGGCTGAAATTAATATAAAAAATCACAGAATTATTGATTATTCTCGTCGATAAACACTATACGTAACAATAGAATTAGGTCAGCTTTCTAGTTACGTAAACCGTTACGTCACGTTCTTACGTTAGAGTAATTTAAAACGCATCGTAAACACATAATTTTACCATTATAATGCTATTGGAATTCTCCAGCACGAGTCGTTCGGATGTCTGTTCGCAGTTATGCTCGATAAAACAGCAGCAATAGAGTGCGAACCATTAAACGCTTGAATAGAACGACCCTATAGGGATGTTGGCTAGAAGTCCCCCTATATCTGTGGCCAACACCAGCTTTTATAATCCCTGTCAGACCACCATAAGTACAAATCAAAGCTTGGACAGCTTTAGCCACTTACGCACCGAATGTACATTCTAATATTGGCATTTAGAAGCAGTGAAAACAAATATTAACTATCCCTTCTCTAAATTACATACAGACTGAGTCATACTTAATTCCTCCCTTGTGTTTCTCTCTCTCTCTCTCTCTCTCGGATGCAGGAGGATCAGACGAGACGAAATGAACGGGTCGTCTGATTCAGTCCCATATTAATCAGGCGATTTTCGACTTGTTGAAAGGGGGATAGATTGCTGCAAAGGTAACACACCAGATCCTATCTTAAGAGACAGATTTCACAATATAAAACGGGGCTTTAAAGTATTTGCATATTTTACAATACGTAAGAGAAAACGTAGGATTAATAAAATATAAATAAATAGAAAACTGCAATTCTTAATCACGTTTTAATTTTAAAAATCACGTGACTGGTCCAGATAGCGAATCTGGACTCGATTTTCGTCTATCTAACTCCGTTCTCGAGATTAAGGAAGGATGGATGGACAGACAGGAAGACAGACTATAGGTTTGCAATTTGAAAATTGCGATCTAATAATAATATAGAGAAACAAAAAATTGAACTCAGAAACGATTACAGAAAGGAAAATAAAACATTTCTGATAGAGATTATAAATATTTTCAAACAAATTAATATTTGGTATTATTTTAGTTTTATAAATAATCAGTGCTATAGAAAAGGAAAATAAAACATTTCTTATAGAGATTATAAATATTTTCAAACAAATTAATATTTGGTATTATTTTAGTTTTATAAATAATCAGTGCTATAGAAATGGATTTTTTGTTGATCTGGTCATACAGAGAGCAGTCTAGTGTGGCAGTACTTTCCATCTTGACTTAATTATTTCTGAAGAAAAGTGTCTACTTTTCACAATAAAGTGTTTCTTTTTTATATAGTCTTTTTTGCTCTGTAAATTATATTTTATATATGGATTTTGTGAGATTTCACAAAATCCATATATAAAGGGCATTTTGTAAATTCATGCCAGTGGCATAGCTAGGGTTCTCCAGGCCAGGTGCAGAACCAGATTTGTAGGCCCCTGCAAATGGACTAAAATATTTTTGTGTAGTGTTTTATATAGTGTATAACTAGATTAGAGTTGAGTTGATGTTTTCCTNTATTTATTTATTTTTAGTTTTTTCAGAAATAAAAATATAATTTTTGTTTCCGAAAAAGATCACATTTCTATTTCTGTAAATAAATTACTTTTTTTATTTTTGAAAAAGATTTCTTTGTGTTTTTTTCTTTTGTTTCTGTTTAAAAATTAATATTTCTATTTCAGAAATAGATCAAAATCGTGTATTATTGAAAACTTTTTCTGTATTTTATTATTGAAACTGATTATATTTTCATTTTCTGAAATCGATTCTTTTCGTTTTCTGAAATTGATGCTATTTCTGTTTCTATAAATGGAACATTTTAATCGTCATTTTCACTTCTGAAATGGATTGCTTTTTTTTAAATTTCTAAAAATATAACAATAGAAACTGACGATTAAAATAATTTATTTATAGAAACAGAAATATCGTCATTTTCACTTCTGAAATGTATTATTATTATTATTTTTTTTAATTTCTGAAAATAGAGCAATTTTTTTACAGGTTTATAATGTATTTTCTGTATGCAAAACAGAGCTTACAAATAAGAAAAAGTAATATTCTACTTCGGAAACAGAAGAGGAGAAATCTGTTCCTTCGTTAACAGATGCTCAACTCCTTTTATCAGAAGCTTCTCTACACGTTCCCCCTCCTAAAGAGACTCGAAGAAAGACATATCCTATGAAACACATCAATTAGAAACGGTCTTACGAAAGACGTGCCTTTCATATGATACACGAATACTTTTAAATAAAGGAAATATTAAAAATTAAATAATTCAATACCTTAAACACTTATCTATAACTCCGTATATCCCAAAGAAGAAAAAAAAAGATTATTCTTTAAAAATTTATAGATCTGCAACAAGATTCTCGACCCTCCCAGGCATCTACAGTGCCTTTTCCAGAGCTTTAAAGACGGTTTTATGTCTTCAGATTTCAAAGAGAGTCTAAGGAAGGAAGGAAAAAATCTGGCAGTTTATAAATTTCGAACAGTAAAATACTCCTGAATGGGGGAGGAAAATATTTAAAAGGGGAACTCTTTCAGTTAGAGTTATGGAGAAATTTTGATTTACGTCTTTAAATCTATAAAAAAAAAAATCTGACAAAATGAAAGGGGAGAGAAGATCCAAAAATTCCCTTTTTTAAGTTTTAGAAATCTTATAAACAGAAAGGAATCCGCACAACTAACAATTATAAATCTTTTTTACTCGGGGATTCTTTGAATTCTTTCTTCAGGAATCCAGAAAAATGCCAAACAAAGCATTTAGGAAAGTTGTAAAAAAACAATAAGAACGTATTCTTTCTATAATCTACGGTTGTAAATCTATTTTAAAACTATTAATTTGTATATAATTTATACGGGTTATAAATTTCACCTCTGTGACCTTGAGACTAAAGGAGAATACAATGATATTTGGGTTGCGCTCTTACCTTGATTGTACACGTATTGTTAGATATACAATTTAAAAAAAGAAAATGAAATTTCTGACTTACTGACAGCTTCGATGACGTCAGCGAGTAAAATTCCATCGCAAACGTCCGTCTGGAGGTCTTGAATGTAGCGCTTGAATCGACCCCTTTCCAAATAATGGTTGGCCCAATCTGTATATATCTGTAAAATAAATCAATCAATTAGTATTAATATACAATTTAACTAGTTTTAAGTGTAAAATACACGTGTGTAAGGGGATAACTGAACGTAGACAACACCAGAAATGGCTACGCTTTTATACACTGGAGTTATAGTTTATATTATTATTATCTGTGTTTTGTTTCTGTATTTGTATTGTTAAATCGTAATTGCTGTTGTAGTGTGTGTATGGCGTTTTGTTGGCAACAATACAGTTGCTATGTCGTAAAGTTGCGAAATAAATAAATATGGGTGTATCAGATATAATTCTCGGTAGAGCTGTTAAGGAAACAGTACAACGCAGCAATATAGAACACATAGAAGACAGTAGAACAATACAAAAGTTTAAAATAAAGTGGCTACAAACTTTTAAAGTTATAAAATCTCAAGTAGATGTGAAAGAAGTAACATGAAAAATCATAAACAAAAGTACTGTATTGTACAGTACTTTCTGAAAGTATACACAATCAAACCTGTGAACAACGGTCACTATCGGATACATTAAAAAATGGACGTTGTTTGGTTTTTCTATGCATTTTTGTTTAAAAATAAACAAGAGAAGTATGTGAAATGTTGCCGCTTTTTAGAGGTGGCCGTTATTGCAGGTTCGACTGTATTTATTAGAGGTGCAAGGTTCTGAGAATTTAAATTCATAAATACTTTCTAGTGTCTCAATTAATGATGTTACTAAAATTTAAATGTGTATTTTCATCATATTAATATCTTTTCTTCCTCGAATAAACAAATAATAGTGATTTTTCTGTCATGTAAGTGAGTACAACACCAAAAAAGTATTGTGTAAAACAGAACTAGTAGATGTAGGAGATGCGATGTTGAGGACTGGTTTAGTTAATAACAGCAAAATAAAGATTGTTTTTAGGCCCTATAAATAATTTTTGGAAGGGCCCCGTGACACTTTTATCTTATTAGACATGCCAGGACAGTTTTTGCATAAAATTAGTAAAATACTAGGAATTGTATATAGGAATAAGTAGAATGCGGCTCTTTAATAAATAGTGGAACCTCTAAACAACGGTTACGTTTCCACAAAAACTTTTCTTTTTTGTTTATGTTTATGTTTAAACAAAAATGCATAAAAATAATCTGCAAACAATGGTCCTAACCCTTTTAAAGTTCTCGTCAGTAACCGTTATTTAGAGGTTTGATTGCGTCTAATTTTCATGAAGTAGACTATTCTTACTATTAAGAAAATAAAACATAGATTATATTAAAACACGGAATATACAAATTAGCATTAGAAAACACAACACGAAACACCAGAAAAAGTGTACTAAACGAGTAAGTTGTAATCAATATGATTTATGGCCTACTAAGTATGAATTTTAATTAAAAAAGAAGCAATAGTACGTTGGTATCAGTAGTCGAAATCTAGTAAAATTGTAGCGCACAACCTCTCAACTTCGAGATAAACACGCGTATAAAACTCGGATAGATTCACGCTTTACAAAACGAGAAGATAAAGCCAGCAGTTAAAATCAGTCCGGCGACATCATCCATCTTAAAAACCAACAGATGCTAAGAGGACACGTGATCGCAGCTGACACAGCGCGTGACCACGCGAATAACTAGAACATTAGTCGCTTAATTACATACGCGTGACCCAATGGGTCAATTATTGCCAGTATCGTAAACAAAGACGGAGGGAGGAGAATATAAAACGAAAAAAAAAAAAAGAAAAAGTAGGAAGGAGATTTCCTCTAAAGCCGTCACTTCCGGTCGGAGAAACAGAAAAATCAAAAAGAGCCGTCACGTGACTGGGGAGGCGAGCGCGTCACGTGACCTGTCGCCACGTGCTACCTCCATTACTTATCTCTCCACTCCTGACCTTTTATTCCTCTAGTAGTCTCTTGAAGAAAATGCTTTTTATTATTATTTTTTTTATTATATAGTGCTAGTGTTAGATATACAGACAAAAAAAGGGAAACGGAATTAGGTCAAGATTTAAAACAGAATGAGAAGAAAAAATAAAAAAAAGGTAGTATTTCGCCCCTTCTTCCACTTTTCATTTAGAGTTTGTAACCCAGAAGTGTGTTGGCAACACTCCAATTCTTTAAATAACTGATAGAGAAGGGCCTTAATACAAATAAATGAGAATTTTCCACCAGTTTTACATGTCTGTATACGTTAAAAGAAGGAAACAGTAAACACTGATACTACCTGCACAATCGATTTTTCCTGTTTGGTGGGTTGTATCGATACATTTTCGCAGGATCCTCCGCTCTTATCGTTGCCTCTTATACAAGCCATGACAAACCATCTCAAACACAAACAGGGTACAGAAAGAGCCCAGCATGCTCCGCTCCTTACTTCTATTTGTAGCATGTGCACGCTTCTCTCTCCAAGTGATTCATGGGATACTAGTGGTTATTGACTAAAAACAAAATATCCGAGAGAAGCAATTAATATTTTCTGGTGTTTTATAACAACACACGCTAAAAGTACCACCCCAATGAGTTCCGTTTTCGGCCTATCGATGACACTAAAGAGTAATTTTTCACCTTACGGGTAAACACGGTTCGAATTCCGTGTGATTTCGCGCAATTGGTTAGTTATCGGTGACGTTTTTTAAATTTTGACGATCCCCGTAACTCTATTGGTCTTTTCTCTCTTTATTCGTGACGTTTTACGCAAATAATCAATTACGTATTTCATATTTTAAAATTGTTTAACGATCTGATTGGTTCTTTATATTAAAACGTATTTTGAATTTATATTATTTCATTGGTCAATTATAATAACGGATCAAGAATTTTGAAATTTTAAATTTTAATTTAATGTGATTGGTCTATTTAATTACGCGTTTAAAACTTAAAAATTAATTATAAAATGGCGCGGTCTGGCTTCAGAATTGGTTAGTTTAATGTTTTAATTTAACTGGAACGGTACTATTATAGTAATAAACTGTATTTGTGTAGGGAATATTCAGTAGCATCAGCTGGGATGCGTTATATCCGTTACCATACTATTAATAATAATTTAGGTATGCAATATTAAAATATAAGCCAAGTTTAATGTTACTATAATAGCATTTATGCATTAAATATTAAAGTCGATTTTGATTCACTCATTCTCTATTATCGATTATTCGGTAGTTTGTGCTACTATTGAAATAATTAAGACGCGAATCAGTGGAACATATTGCAGTATGGCAAGCTGCTACAAGTAATAGTAAAAATAGTACTTGTACTGGCTTACTGTGGCGACATCTGGTATATATTATATTAATTATCACATTAGTACGAGGGGTGAATCAAACTTTTAGACATAAAGCAGTTTTACAATAGGCGAAGCGAAATCTCTCTTATCTTCCTCTAAGTCATTATAAGTAAAGAAGAAATGCCTGTAAGACTGGAATTCGAGATAAAGGAAGTAAAGTAGAGCACCAATTATTGGCTGATCACACCGACCATTGCACATATAAAGGCAGACGAAGGTTTGTCAGGAAGGGGAACTTGACAGTCGTGTCCCTTGATAAATTGTTGCCCTTCTATTTCTCTCCAGTTTACCTGATTTCCCTTCCAGTAACAAGGGACTCCGTCCAATTTATCATCCTGTATTCCGTCCTGCAACGGAGGACAGATTGGATTAATGTTGCAACTGTCCACTTTGGGTAAATTGATATTCTCGCTAGCTGAATATGGTGTTGACAAGTAGTGTTTCGAATTCAAAATTTGAAATCCTCCAGCCTATAGGAAAAGTTCTAAAAGAAAAAAAAGGTCGAAGTTTAACGTAATTGGCTAACTTTCTTAATCGATAAATTCGTTTATTTCGATTCGCTCATCTATTGGTCGATTTTAAATAACGTCACACGTCTTCAAAAACTGTAATAAATATTAACGCCTACCAAATTCGAATCGGCAAATGAGATCGTTAAATATAGAAAACGTTTCGAAAATTTAAATTTCGTCATCGTTTTAAAACACTCTCATTGGCTAATTCTAATTTATCGTTAATGAAATCAAATAATTTATATTTTGACGTCATAATTATGTATGTAAATGAGTAATTTAGAAGTTAATTATATTTTAAACTAACCAATAATAGAGTGTCGGGATTTAAAACGAGAAATGGAGGTCGAATAGTGAAAATAGAATAGCAAAAACTCTTTCGCCCACTCTAAAACTATAAAGAGGAATGAATAATACGTAAAATGGCTGATGACAAAATTATTCAAGGCTGGTTAGATAAGATAAAAAAAAAAAAATGCTTAAACTACATGCGATAATGTTTAATATATTTCATCTTTCCTGCTTATACGTTTGAACGGTTTGGAAGAGGAAGGGGAAAAAAATATATAAGAAGGAAAAAAAATAAACGGGAGGACATTGAAGGAAATGTCACTTCTTTAGTTGAACCTATCACCTGGCAGCATAGTGACCTGCATCGACATGTAGCAGCTGCTGCGAACTGCTCTGATGGAAAATCAATCTGCTCTTTTCCACCTTCCATTTTGAGTGTTAAAAGTTTAGCTACCTGAAGGAAAGAAATACGTTTGACTGTTACTTTTATAGAAAAAAAGGGTAGAAAAAAAACTATTTCGAAACTAATTTTATAACTTTCTTTGCAATTTTTCAGCAATTAACTTAATTTTATGTTTTTATCCATAAGTATACCCTAATTGGTTAGTTTAAAAAATCTATCACGCTTTATTGGATCATTTTAAATAACGTAAGCCGTGAATTGATCATAATTGGTTAGTTTAAAACATTTGTCACACGTCATTGGATGATTTTAAATTTTTTAAAAATAACGTAATAGATGAATCGGTGTTAATTGATTAGTTTAAAAAAATTGCCACGCTTCATTGACGATTTTTAATTTTTCAAAAAACGTAATAAGTGAATCGATCTAATTAGTTAATTTAAATTAATTCACTCCATTAATTCAATATGCTAGCATATACAGTACAATACTGTACAGTACTGTAGTGTTGACGTGTTTATTATCAATTTCTGATTGGTCAATTTCATAATAAATTTGGAAGTGTCGTTTTTTTCAAAAGTTTCTATACCTCAAAAATATGAAAAAAAAAAAATTTTCTCGCGCATAATTCAGGAGATTTTTTCCCCATTTTTTTTAAATTAGCCATTTTCCCTCTTGTAGCTCACCCCTTACCTGGTAAAAATGTTGGGAGCCGTCACGTGACTGGGGAGGCGAGCGCGTCACGTGACCTGTCGCCACGTGCTACCTCCATTACTTATCTCTCCACTCCTGACCTTTTATTCCNTTTAAATAACGTAAGCCGTGAATTGATCATAATTGGTTAGTTTAAAACATTTGTCACACGTCATTGGATGATTTTAAATTTTTTAAAAATAACGTAATAGATGAATCGGTGTTAATTGATTAGTTTAAAAAATTGCCACGCTTCATTGACGATTTTTAAAGTTTTCGAAAAACGATCTAATTAGTTAATTTAAATTAATTCACGCCAATTCAATATGCTAGCATATACAGTACAATACTGTACAGTACAGTACTGTAGTGTTGACGTGTTTATTATCAATTTCTGATTGGTCAATTTGATAATAAATTTGGAAGTGTCGTTTTTTTCAAAAGTTTCTATACCTCAAAAATATGAAAAAAAAAAAAATTTCTCGCGCATAATTCAGGAGATTTTTTCCCTATTCCTATAAATTAGCCATTTTCCCTCTTGTAGCTCACCCCTTACCTGGTAAAAATGTTGGTGGAAATGTGTAATGATTTGGAAAAAATATTCAATAACAGTTTGTAAATGTAGCCCTCATATTACCTGATTAAGTTGCAGGTTGGCTTCTGGGTAGGTAGGGAGACGTCTGCGCCAAACCAGGCAAATGTAATGGGCCTCTAATTTTCCTGCAGGTCTAGTTTTCCACGAATAATAAAACGATGTTAAGGAGAACGTAAAACATGACGTAGTGAACATTATGACGTTAACATTGATGTAAAGTGTCTGGATGAATGTAACCAGATTTTTGTGAACATCAGATATACTCGCGCGCTTAATTTCCACTGTGTTATTAATAACGATGCTATAAATTTAAGATTAAATCAAATTTGTTGTTCGTCTAATCCTTTTAATTATTTTACTCTAAAAAAATGTATTTTTAAAGCTTTTAATCGTTTTAATTTGCTAATAACTTCCATTCTGCTGGGGTAGTTACTAGTTCGAATTTTAAAACGATTATTGGTCAGTTTGAATTACGAAATTGAAATTCTTCTTCCTGATTGGTTAGAAGTTTGAATTTTTTAAATTTCCTGTTCTGTAATTGGTTCATTTAAATATTTCAAGATTTTCAATGTACTTAATAGATTTTTTGTTTTATACTTGTCCTAGATTTTTGCAAAAGTCATTTATTTTATTAAAAGAAAATAAAGAACATTATTTAATAATTTAACCGACTTTGATTAGAATTGCTTTGAGATATTGTACAGTACAATGGATAATTTGCCGTTGCAGCAATAATAAAGCTGTAGTAACACGCAACTATAGTAACAATACAGTTCAGTAAATGGAAATAGGCTAACAATCGTCAACAATGTTGCGGCATACTTATTATTACTGCGATAAAGCTTTGAACAAGTTTAAATAACATATTTATCATCAAACAGTAAAGATGCAAAATGGTCGAAAATTATACATTAAGGTTTGTTTATAATTATATACTTGGCATTCCGAAAATCAAGCACACATCTGAAAATCAATACTGCTAAACTACAATCCATAGAATCTTCTACAAATCTATAAAATGGCAGAGAAAAAGTAAGAAATTCAATCGTGACAAACGCCTGAAGTGACAGAGTACAAACTAGCAAAGAAAAAAAAAGTAAGGACAGACTTCATATCTGCAGTAACTCTGTAGGGTGTATATAACAAAATCAAGATTTTTTGACAAACCCTCATGATATAATTTAAGATATAGAAGAAAGCTTACTACCTACTTTGGATGCAGGGCTTTTTTAAACAATTTACTGTATGTAAAAGTAGCTTTGACTACCTTTACATGGTGAAAATTTATATTATTGTGAAATATACTGACCCTGATATCTGATATATATATAGGCATATATATTATAGACTCACGCACTCATATACATAAAAAAAGAGCTAATTTTAGAAGTAACTCTGCAAGAAAAACAATTAATATTAAGTCTAAAAATTACAAAAATTGAATTAAAAATAATGTAAAATTCATCCTTCCTTACTTGAAATGACACTATATTTGCCAATTTTTCTTGCTTGGTCCGCAAAATTTCACCGAACACGCTACATAAGTCTATATAAACTACAAGCGCGCACACCTCTTTCAGTGCTGTCTACACCTCCGCACCCATAACTATACAGTATACTTTATAGAGGGTCAATTTTGTGAATGGCCGACCACCTTTGGAGTCTGGAGGGTGGAAAGGAACATTTATAAATGGGTGTTAAGTTTTGGGTGGATTGTCCTTGAGACTTTGGGTCTGCAGCAAACTATGCAAACCCACCTTTCCTTAAGAACAAAAAATATATAAATCTCTATTAATAACATACTTTTAAGCGAAACGTGTACTGTACAGTACAATCGATTAAACAAGAATTTTTGATGCAATAATTTCCTGCAACTTCTACTAAAATAAAACTGATAGCGTGCGAGAAAAGAGGGCGGTTTAATTAAAAAATAATAATAATTATTATTATTACAAGGTATTGGTAAACAAGGAAGTGTAACCTTAATTATTTGGTCTCACCTCTGTCTGGTTCTTAAGTTGCTTTAAGGTGAAGGTAGCTTGCTTAATCCTATCACCCAACATAGAGATACTACTAACGTAATATAGATGTAAAGGTGCTTTTAACCACTAATTCACCGAACCTCGGCGAAAGTCACATGATTTCCGCCTACACCGTGACGTCACGGAGATTCGGTGCGTGACGCGATCACCTGTCTTTTTTATATCCTAGTATTATTCGAACTCTAATGAGCATGCGCCGAATGTATTTACCTGGAAGGTAATTCCTAGAATAAAATACAAAGAAAAACGAATCCGTGATTGTTAAAATGTCCTCGATACGTTTAATTAGTTACGAGGATTTTTTTCTGTTATTGTGACATGAAGGGTGACGTCAACATCTACAACCCCTGAGAAAAAAAAAGAGAAAAAAAAACACGGATATTTCGCTTTTGTTGCGTGCTTATCTGCAAAATTTTATTGTTTTCCCCCCAGCTTAGTTGAAATTCCAGTTTTTTTATTAAAATTTCTTGCGTTAAAACATATTTCAAATTTCCTCTTATACTATTGGCACTTTTTAAAAAATTTCTCGTCTCTCATTTGTTAATTAAGTACTGACGTATCTCGAATCTCATTCCTGTAATTGGTAAATTATGTTATGACGAAATTTAAATATTAATCATTTCATTGGCGGCTTTGCTATTGAAATTTTTAAAATAACCTTCTACGATTGGCGGCGTTGCATTTTAAATTTTTGAAATATTACCTGTCATTGGTTAATTTTGCATGATGCAATAAATTTAAATTATTCGAGTCATTCGTAATGATTTAACAGAGTAAATCACTATCGAGAACATTAAAGCAAACGACTGCAAATATTCTGCATTAGGAATCGGTTGTTAATTCAAGTTTTATGGGCTGTCGAGCCAACATATTTCAAAACAAGTAAGGTTTCTGGTCGACTAGCGATGCAATTCGACTTCCCTGAATATTCTTCGTGTAAACGACAATGGTCACGTGATATTGACAGTACTTCCGGTCGTGTAATGTTTTCTAATTCCGCTCGTAACAACAGCAAGACTCGACTTTGTTTACATCATATATCAGTTCAGATATTACGTCTTTCGTGTTAGCTATCATAAATATTTTACGTTATTATTAATAATCTGTTAATGGAAAAGTATAACACAAGCTCCATTAAATGAAAACAAAGTAATTTTATATTCATCCACTGAATATTTTTGAATAATTTAGACTTAATAGTTCTTTCTTTCCGCCATCTTCATTAATTATTTAAAATTTTTAAATTTTAAACGCAATTTTTGGTCATTTCGAAATACGAAACTAAAATCGTCTTGCCCGATTGGTTAATTTAAATATACATTTCAAAATGCAAATACAAAATATTTGCGTTTTTAAAAATACTTTTATATTATTGGTTAATTATATTACGTAACAAAAATTTTAAAAACTATTATTGGTTTCTCTCTTTTTTTACGTAATGGATTACTTCACGATTATTGGCTATTAGAACTTTTTGAAATTTTCTCTCATCCTATTTGATAATTTCAAATTACGTCATATTAGTCGTTTTTTCTTTCCTGTTTTGAATTCGTTATTATGAAGTTTTTCGAAAAAAATTCTTAATTTACCAACTCGGAATCGATTTAATTAAGTAATTTTTTCCACGTTTAATGGAGTGACATTTCATAATAAGCGAATAATGCGATAAAGGACGAAACACAAGAGTTAATTCTGTTGAATTTACTTTTACTGCATTAAATTTAATGAAAGTTGTTATGCTATCTTCGTACTTAGTCGACGATAAGAGTTCGTGTTTAATTTTTAGCCATGAGAAATCTTCAGTCACTTTAATTAAAGAATGTATTGTGGCAGATAAATTGTGCCTTTGGGAAGATACAAAACCATGAATATTTAACACAATAGGAGGTAAGAAAAGTCTTAACCTCATGTTATTTGAACACCACAACACAAATACTAACGACTTTCTTGTTTACTTTGGTAAAACTGTAAAATTTAAATGAAGAAAATGAAGAAACTTTGTTCAAATACATTAAAATAATCACGAATTTCCACTTAAAATATTGAAAAAAACAAGAAAGTAATTGCTTAGTGTCTTGGGTTTCAATTTAAAATTCAAATCATTTAAATTAGCCAATAAGTAGTTCGGACGAAAGCAATTTGAATTCGATCTTTCCTGTCATCTTGATATCGAAATTTAAAATGTGTGTCGATTGGATAAGATAATTCAAATTTACCATTAGTAGATTAAGCGTAAACAATTCTAAATTAGTTTAATATAAATTATTTTTTGTCATTGGTTGCTTAAGTTTTAAAATTAAAAAAAATGCTGCTAATTGGATAATTTGAATTTAACTGTTTAAAATTCTAAACGCTGATTGGATAACGTTTCGATATTACTTAAAGCTATTGGTTAATAAGAAAATTTTGAATTTAATGTTTTGTATTGCAGTTTGACAAACAATTCGAATTTTATTTATATTTGACTGGTCCAACAATAGATTTCGAATGTTTTTTATTAGTTTTTTCTAACTAAAGTTAGCCGGGATTTCGTGTCTTCAGTTCAACTCCACCCAATCAAGTTCATACAGGTAAACAAGGTTCCTCGATGAAGCTCACGTCGTGTTGTGCGTGAAGACTTTCATTACTACTTTTTCTATAGGGGGTTGTCCTTTTGATGGTTTTCTCGTAACAAAACATCTGTTTATGTTATTGATCTTCACTCGCACGTACCAAAAAAAAAAGAAAAAATCACGTAACAAAATCGAATTTAGCGCATGGCTCCGTCCCAAATCAGATAAAAACCATGCTGCTCCGCCCGATACCATATAAAAAAAATACTGCAATAAATGATAAGATGGATCAGTCCTAGAGGGAAAGACAAGGAAAAATGGGAATAAAATTGGATGACGAATGTCATTCAATTGGGATGATTATGGAGCGTCAGAACGTCTGTCATGTGGCTGGACACATCATTCCCGCATCTTCTACCATAATTCATGTTGGTCACACGTCACACCATCGACTTTTCTCCAGTTCTGAATGTACAGCACACTCATTACTGTCCGTGACTCACGGCGCGCCTTTGACTGCATCTTCACCTTCTGGCCTCACTGCCCCTCACTGAAAACCTGTTACAGGTTTCAAGCGTGATGCGATCCAGTTAAGTCTGTTAGATAATTGCTAGGTTAAGAGATAGTAAACCAATGATTTTGAACAATTTAATCGGCGATTAAAGGTCGTTAGGTCACTCGAATTAAGAGAAATAAGTGAAGATACTTAAACCGAACTAATGATGATGCCACTTAGCTAAGTAAGGCTGTGTTAACTAATCGATAAGGAGTGTTGAAGTAACTTTATTTCTATAAATAAATTAATCTATCATCGTTAATTTTGTGTGACGATTGTGTTTTTAGCCTCCTATTCTTAAGAAACGGGGTGTAAGGTCGTGATGATAAGCAGAAGCAACTTGAAATTACACAAATCTTCATCATCATGTTAACATTATTTAACACGAAGAAATATTTAGAAACTACCTTACTACGTTGTAAGATGATGATGATGATGATGGTGAAGAAGAGGAGGAGGAATGTAGACGATTAAATTATAATTAAAAATGGCTTTTTTTTAACAAACAGTCCACGTTTAACAGAGATAGAAAGAAAGTAACGTCAATCACCTGTCATACGATTAAGAACACAGCTCAAGAAGAATCACACAAGCTGCAACATCCAGATAGAGGAGGAGGGAAGAAAAGGTATTACAGGAAGCAAGGCAAAACCGTTATCCCCGAATGGTATCTTAAGAAAAGCAATTTTTGTCTGGAAAGATTTATCGATTGCGGAATATAAGACGGTGCAACACAAACTGATTACGTCGCTCCGCATCAATCGATTCAAGTCGGATGATAGGTAACCACAGGTCAGTGGGACTTCCCACAAAAGGCCCGGAGCGCCCACATTCAATGTATGTTGAATAAGTTCCGCTTAAACATGGCCCCCGTCGCCCCGAGGAGTTTTGTGCCAGATGTCATTGACACACACATTCACACTTGTGTGAAGCTTATGGTCGTAATTGAGGAAGCAGAACGTTTTCATCTTTCACCAAAAAATAAATTGACTTGTTTTAAAGATTCCTCTTTCACAAACTCGTTTGTTATAAATGCATCGATTTCCTGCCCCCTTTTTAATATTCTTTTCTTTTATCTATTGTTTGTAAAACGACAACTTGTCGATTCCTCGAGTTTTAACCTCGTGTCTAATGAAACTAAACAATAATAATAATTATTATTTTTTAAACAGAAAATTAATCAATTTATTAAATTTTAACCACGTGCTTTATTTAAAAACACGAGTATTTTCTTTTCCTAATTCAGAAACTAATAAAACATAAGCATATTATTATTATAAACTATATTACCTGCACGCAAAATTTATGCATTTGCCACAGTTTGCGCCAAGTTCAATTAGCGTGACGAACATTTTGATATATATTCAAAGTATGGCCATTTGCTCGTATATTAAAGGCTATTTAATTGCAAATTTAACGTATGATGGTGGCATATAATATTCGGTAAATTCGTCATAATTTGCAAAAACTTGGTTGGATAATGCCAGGAAAATACTTTAAGAATAACAAATCGACATCATTGAGAGATGGCGCATTCTCTCTCTCTATTTTTTTTTCTTTTAGTCCGTGTGTCTGTACGTTTGTAAGGTTTCAAAATAATTGCAAGGTTTCATACCAGTTCGTGAGGTTGTTTTTTTTTCCTTGCATTTTGGAGGCGTTTTTTTGTGGTCGTTTGTTTTTCTAATTGCTCATCTAAGATTCTGCTCTCGTTCCTGAGAGTTTAAGCGATTGTTTATGCATTTTTTAAGCTTCCTTCGTAAGTTTTCCTGCCTTAAATTGATGACTAAGTTACTCTTACAATGTTGTTTTTTTCGAATTAATTAAAATAAATTTCTAAAACACAATTTACTAACAATCATCGTAATTATGTTTTGGAAATGAAAAATAATTACCTGGCAAATAAAAAAAAATAATTAATTTTCAGTTGTATATCATTAAGAATTTCTCAGATATTCTTAAATTGTTGTTTCAAGGGGGTGCAACTTCTGCTTAAAGTTATAAACAGCTTAATTAGAATTTTTGCGTTAAGTTGCAATTAGTGACGAGATAAATTTAGATGAAGTCTCTTAAATTACGTTGCAATTAAACATTTGGATAAATCTAGTCACAGATTAAATTAAGCAAGTAATTAATGCTCACACTTAATTACGGAAATCCTATATATTTTGGCCACTGCCGAATATCTTAATTTCTAACAGAATATCAAATACTGTGAAGATGATTTAATGTAGTTTTGGTCGAAGTATATATGATTTTAGATCAGATTTCCCCCCAATTCTTCCCCTGAAACTACGATAGGAACCTTATAGAATAATAATAAAGCGCAGTTTTTTAAATTAAAAAAAATACTGTAATTTACTTAAAAAAATTTAAACAGAGCAATTAAATTTAAAGCTTGCATTTGCATAAAAATGCAATTTGTGGAGGAGAGAATGTAATTTGCACAGAGATACGAAGCCATAACGTGTGCAAGTACGTAGTTTGTAACGAGATATATGCGAGAGAAATAAAGTTTGTACGAAAATTTAGTATACAAGATTACATTACATCAATAGAAAATGGTGTTTTATACCAAGAAACACGGATTGCGGCTATAAAAAAATGCATCGTTTGCACAGAATGTAGGTTAGTATAGTTTACAGAGAGCTGGATTACAGAAATAAAAACTAATATTTGTATAGGGATGTAGTAAGAAAACATGATTTTATAGAAAGTAATTTAGATTGCAGTAACAGAAAGGTATATAGCTTGCATATAAATGTACAAAAAAAAAAGCTTGCATACAGTAGTAAACGTAGATTGTAGCGCGTTAGTTTGCATAGGGATGCAGATTTTATCGACATAAATGCAGAATTATAACAGAAAAATGTAGTTTGCACAAAGATTAAAGAGAGGAAAATGCAGTTTGCAAACACCCGCAGTTCATGGAAAGAAAAAAAAATCAGCTGTAGAGGGAGAGAAAGAAAGATCTGAAATGAAAAACCATGATCCGGATTGCAACATATGAAATTTTTTACAAAGGTAATATGCAAATTGTGGGAAGACGTAGTTGCAAGAAATTTAAAAAATACGTGAACTGGGTCAAACCAGCAATTGAATCAGATAAGCTGGATGATGCGACCGGTTGTCTGCTTGTGTTATTTGCTTAACAACGAGCAGATACAAACGTATCAACATCGTTTACTGTAAATCGTTGATCTTTGCACGATCTGTGACGATAACGTAACGTGATATCCAGTGAATGAAACATTTTAGTACAGTGGTGCGCAGTTCAAGGTCATCCGGGAAGCGGCACCCTCCCAAAACAAAGACTTTTTTTTTGCGGGGCTGATACACATCTACTTGACTTTAGCAGCTAGGTTAAGTACCTGAGGTTGACCAAATACACGGTTTTGCAGCCCCCATATCAAAATTAACGGATATTCTTCAGTGTCTTCATCGATTAATCCTTCTCCGTGGCTCTTGAAGATCAATTGCATTCGTACACTCGAAGCACCACTAATTACTTTGCAATTCGGTCTGAAGTATGGTTTTGGGGGTTGTAAAATTTGTAAGAATTTCTAAAAACTAGAAATAAAGTCGCCAGCGCATCGACGTCCCTCCATTGCTTCGGGCATTCTCTATACGTAATCGAGTTAAGATATGCAAATGAGGGAGAAAACTAGTTGCGGCGCGAGTAGAAAGAAAAAGTCCCTACCTTTCGCTTCCAGTTTCTAGCAGCGTTGTAATGAACCCTCCTATACAAAGTAGATGACATCTGTTGAACTACGACCTGCCCTTCCTGACATTACTGGGATCGAAGCGAAATGCCTCACTTATGATCAGCCGGACTGCTTTAGCGCTTGACGTGACATCATTCATCCAATAACGTTCAATAAGAACTTTGTTCTAGAAATTTTCTCTTTAATAACTCTACCAGGATTGGTTAAAAACGGGGGCCAACTAAGTCATCCCCCCTGTATTAATAATAATTACCTCTCAAGAGTCCATTAACAACGCTACGTTGATTAGTGTTAAACAATTGATAAGTTTTTGATGAAAAATGCACATATTTGAGGGTGATTAACGTGATTTTTTTTACATGGAAGGACCACGTAATGAAGAAGATTCTGTTGAAATTTATATGAAAAATCGACTGGTAGGAAGATATGTATTATTAATGGAAAGATATTTTCTTAGAATTATAAATGATCTCTTCGGGTTTTTCTGTAGATGATATCTTCAGGTTTCCTGCAATGTTTTCACGAATTAAGAGTAAATTAATAATTGAAGATGTACTTTGAAAGAATTCTTCGATGCTGCGTGCTGATGGAAAAGAAAAATTCAGCTCATAACAGAAAAATATGCATTCTTACAGTTAAATTTAGCATTTCGAGGCAATAAAATATGCAATTGTAAGGGCAAAACGCAGTTTTCTTGAGGGAAAAAACCGAACGAAAAAGATGCAGCTCAAGAGAAAACAAAATGCACATCTAGCAACAGAAAAATGCAACTCGCAAGGGAAAAAGATGCAGCTACTGGGGAAAAAAGACGCAGTAACGGGGGCTAGCTGGATCTCACAGGGGAAAAGATGCAGCTAATAGAAAAAAATTCACTCCACAGAAAACAAAAGATATATTCTAACAGAAAAAGAAGTGGAAAGTTTCAATTCGCGGAAGAAATAGAGCATTTTATAAAAGAAAGATGCATTTTTACCATGGAGCAGAACTATAAACCGTAATTCATGGTATCAAACAAGAAAATATCCGACTTTTCGGGCAATGAGATGCACTCAGTAGGGACAGAAATGTATAGGAAGATGAAATTTTACAAGAGCAGGAAGCAACTCATACACACGACCCGTTGAAGAAACTTTGCAATCTACCATTTAAGAGCCAGCAAGGATCTCTTCCCTTTCAAGAAATTTGCAAATAAAAAAAAAACAAAATTTATAAGTTTGTAATAATAAAATATGGCAGAATTAAATTAAAATTTAAGAATTCTTCATAGATTTAAAGCATTTCTAAAGAGCCGCAGTCAGAATTTATGCGTTTTGCAGCTCGTTTGCAATAATTCAAAAGAAGTAAATTAGTACAAATGAGAAGGAAGAGCAAAATGGAGGAAATATATAACCCCCAGTCGGGCAATCGGTAAATCAAGCAAAAAGCTTTAAAAGGAAGATAAGAAGGTACCATCTGCCAAAAATCACAAATCAATCCATCGGTTGTCACGTGACGTTTCTATTACACTCTAACAGACATTGTAATGAAAAATAAATGCTTTAGTAATTGCTGTAATATTTCATAACAGATCATTCTTTGCTCGAACGTGGCAGGGAGAGCAAGCGGATGCACAGAAATCAATTTCCTTTCTATCAGCTGATTGGACGGAAACGGGGGGGTGGACTGCTGAAAGGAAGGGAGGGTGAGCGGGCGCATTTCCCCTCTCGAATCTTAAATGAACAAATTTCTCATACTGTTGGTTTGTACTAAATTACTTTTAAAAATTATAATATTTTTCTTTTTTTCGTCGAAGAGGGCTTTATGCGGATCGGAAACCCTTTATCCCAAGTAAACCGGTGGAAAATCCTGCACGCTTTTACATTCGATTCAAAATTTTCTAAATTTACTTTTAAAATTATTTTTTAAACGTTTTTATCGTTCAAACTTGCAAGGAAGTTAGACGTAGGGAAATTACAGTGAAGCGCCACCCGGCGGAATTTTTTAAAACTTTTTTGTAGGCGGCGCTATATGTTAGGATTTTTAAAATTTTAAATCCTAACATAAAGCGCCACCTAAAAGGAAAAAAATCTATATAGCGCCATCTAGGATTTTAAAACATTTAAATGTTTTAAAATTATATTGTATTAGCGCCATTTAAAAAAAAAAAAAAAAGGTAAATAAAATTCCTCTTGGAGTTGCCTCGCAGGGATTTTAAATGTTTTTAGTTCTTCGAATTACAGCGCCGCCTTTAAATGCAGAAGCGTTATTTTTCTACGGATTACAGTTAAAATTCTCAAATATTTCTCGTAGGCAGGTGTGAGAGACCGTAAAGTTAGAGGATCAAAATTTCTGGCATAACACTTAGATTAACACTGGAGCATATTGGTGTTAAGCAGCCGCTCAGATTACCCTTACGCTTGAATTGTCGCAGGGATGGAGAGAAGCGTTAAGCCCTATGGGCAAAGGACGCATGTGGGCTTTGCAAAGCGCTGGCAGACATATAGATAAATGGTTACAGAATAAAAGTTCAGCCACACGGAAGGGCGTGCCACCCTAAAGATCCTCTGTGGTCATAATTCAAGGATAGTTCCCTGCCCGTGGTAAATTATGAAGAAGGGAGAACAGTAAATAGCTCGTTACGATTTCAAACGTTTTCATCTTCACTCCTCTATAGTACTTGGGACATCCTCGGTTTTTAAAGTATAAATATGTTATAAGACATGATTGATGAACATTCTTCGGTTCCTCGGCGACTGAAGAATGCAGTTTTAGGTGTCGAAACCGGAAATTATGTCAACTGCCACGCGGATGGGCGAGAGCATTTGTGCCATCTAAAAGTAAGATATCTTACCTGAAATATTTTAAGGCCCACACAAATTCGATATAACTGACGCAAACCGGAAATCCCCTGTTCATTGGCAGGCACGCGACATAGCTTTTCGTTATATCGAGGGATTATTTCTCTAATCCCGCGTTTATTTTTCAACTTTCTGGCACTGTTCCAGGATATCAAAGGGCATCCGATGGGATTAAGATTATCGAATATTGTAAACTAATATGGAGAATCGGGGAGTGTTTAGAAGTAAGAGGACAATTGAATCTTAAGAAAAACTCCTATTCAATTTCACAAGTAATTATTATTATTCAATGGAAGAGATGGTTAGACGAGGATGTATCTAAATATATTAAGATGAAAACCAGTGGCGCGTTATCCTATGAGCAAAAATGGGCAATTGTCTGGGCCTCCATCAACAGGGGGCTAAACCAATGTTTTATATAAAAATATTTCCCCAGAAATTCTCCAAGAAAAATATATGAAGACAACACTGTACACGGGGCTCTCTAATTCAAATTTGCCTGGGTCCTATGCGCCAGCAATGAAAACACCACTTAATGTGCTCCATTGGGGGATGATCTCCTAGTAAAATGTGGATATCAAAGAAAAATATTGACTAGTATATCTCCTGGAATTAGAATTACGTGACAATGACAGCGGGCAGTTACCCCACAATATTGAAATATTATTCCACTTTATTTCCAATTATTTTTCCAATATTTCCAATATTATTCCACTGACAGTTGATATATTTAATGGAGTCAGAATATGAACCAATAGCATTAAAGGAATTCAATGAATCCAGGATATCCGATAACATTGAAGAATCTACTAACATAACAGGTATTACTCTATTGGCATAAGGATATTAGCCTACCCTATTGGGGTATCAAATGGCATTACTACTATAATAACAGAAACATGGAAGATAATTCTAGGAACGTTGGGGTGAGTATCCTTAGGGGAATCATCCCAAAACCACCGGAATGATCAATTATACTGTTAGAGACGTCATAATCGAGTATAATATAAACAATACACGACGTTACCTGAATTTCGTTTCCAACAAGTGTCTTCCTCCCATCTTGAACCATTGTCAGCAAGATACCATTCCACTCGACAAAGTGATAAAGGCAAAATAACGATAGTGATATCAGCTAAACACGTGAAAACAATCTACACTTGACACATCACTTCAATAACTGAGTCACAGGAAAAAGGAGTTCGTAGGCACAAGTGACGTCATAGAAGCTAGAAAGGATGATCTGTTTGGCCAAGGTCTTCTTCTAGGTAAATCGACTAAATTATTACGTACACACAAGGTCACGTGCTGGTTCCCTAGTGATGTCATTAGTTACTTCCGACGTAACTTTTAATTACAGATGATCTCATTAGTGATAAAAATTTAAAACAAGTGGAATATTTTTGCATATATTTTGGTGTCGTTTCAAGGGTGTAGTTAGACTCGCGCCATGTTATTTTTTTTAATCAATTTGCGGGTAATTTCTTTATAAAAAAATTATGTTTTAGTTAAATTAGAGTTTAAATTCAAGGAAATTAATTAATTTTTCTAATAATTAAACTGCAGATATTTACAGAAAAATTTCAAGTATACTTTATTACTGTGTTGAAATATTTATTTATTTATTTAACAGGAAATTATTAAAATAATTTCTCTTGGAGAAATTTTTTTAAGAGGAAGTTTTTAAAATTACAAATATTTTAATTCAAGGTCATTTTATTATTATTATTATCAAGGATCATTGGCCATTTTATGATATCCTGTTTAATTAAGTGAAATTTAATTTTAAAATTGCTTAAATTTATTTATTTTTTGAAATTATTTTAATGAGTTTAAGGAAGTTAATTTAATTATTTATTAAATAATTATGGAAACTTATAGTTTAAAGCTGTTTTAAGGGTTACTTTCTTGAGGTCACGCTTATGTAACGTACTGTACTTAAAATTCTTATTTTTAAAATAATTCTGAACAAAATTATAATATATAAAGAAAGTATTACGTGAAATATGAAGTAAAGGCCTTATAAATGTTGTAAATAAAAATATTTTCTGCTTCTAAGTCACAAGCAGCTTTAAAAATAATTCATTGGTCAATTTAAAATTCTTAATTTATGATAAAAAATTCTATTGGTTAATTTGAATTACGTAATTCCAGTGAAGTAATGTATTGGTCAATAATATAATTTATTATGTAATCTACGATGGAAAAATTTTTTTTCTCCAATAAAATTATAATTTATAAGGGAAATGTAAGGGAATAAGAAATTTTAAAAATATTTAAATTCATACATTTTTCTAAATAAAAATATCGATATTCAATTTCATTTATATTCAAACTTAAGAACATAGTTTATTGGTCGATTTAAAATGCGTAATTCACGAATAAAATAATATATTGATCAATTTAAATACTCAATTTGTGAGGAAAAATGCTAATTGGTAAATTTGAATTACGCAGTTTATGAGCAATAATATAATTGGTAATTTCGAACTACGCAATTTATGAGGAAGAATGCTGATTGGATAAATTCGATTTACATAATTTCGAATAGAATAAATCTATTAAATATGCAATTTTAATGCTAGGAAATACTTTCAGAAAGCTGCATTAAGCAATTTTATTCAGAAATAAATTATTTGTGTATAATAAATATAAAATCGACTCGAGTAAGATCCAAGTTTAATAAAGACAGGGAAGTACACAAAGATGTACAGATGTTTAAATAATATTCCCAACCAATAACCAAGATTTTTCCAACAATGCTTGCTCTTTCTTATGCAAATACTCCAAACTGAATGAAAATCTAGAATGTTTTCCCCCTTATCCCGCGTTTCTGACATAGAAATCAATAGGTTGGAGGTATATTAAAGAAGAGAGGGGGAGATCCAGCGTAACGTTATATTGCTGGGGTTTGCTTGAGGTAGATATATAATTACCACTAGATTGCCAACAATATGATCATACTCTCACAATAGCAACCATATCCTTCTTCGGTTTAAGGAAGATAGCAGCTGTGTAAACAAAGATAGTATTGCGCTTTGTTGTGGACTTACCGCTAAATTATGTACAGAAGTTGTACAGCAGTCGGATAAAGTATCTTCTTTTAAAATCGACATGCAGGAATTCCTGCAGAAACTTTTTCCTTCAAAGCTGCTCTATGCAAATCTATGCAATGGGATTTCACGTGCACAGCATAGAGACTATAAATGGAAGAATGTTTTATTATTTATTTTTTTTTTCGCTTCGGGGCTCGTAAATTATGAAACTAAAATATATTTTATGATGGTGTAAACCATGCTGTGCCGTGTTGATAATGTTATAAGTTTATACATATGAATAAATGTAAAATTAAAAATTATTTATTTAAATTTTAAAAAATTAATATAAATTAAATTAAATAATGTTATACTAAGAAAATCAAATGTTCGTGTAATTATCATACATATAAACCGTAAAAATAATATTTATTTTTCATTATTCAACAAGAAAACGGCCATATTTAATTCAAAATATCCAAATAACTTTTAATTATTCCGTTTGTAAAATTAAACATTATTGGAGCATTTAAAAGAGTTATAGGCACATGATATAAGAAAATGCAAATTTGAATTTCGAAACATCCAATAATCGATTGTTTAAAGTCTGATGATTATTGGATGTTACAGAATG